GGGGGGGGGGCATTCCTCAAGTGTCTGACTGAGCAGCGTGAAATCCTGCAGGCAAACACTACACACCCACTGTATGTCTCACCCACTGTGTGTCTCACCCAGTGTCCCCCGACCTCAGTGTCCTCAGGTTCAGATACGTCGTAGGGTTTACAGGATTTATTTAAAAAACAATATTTATAACATAGATGAATGCGCAAGCACATAGGGAGGCTGCAGGTTTTAAACACGGTGCATTCACGGATTTCTCTGTACACACACACACACATACACACACACACACACACACACACACACACACACACACACACACACACACACACACAGTCTGAGTATCAATGTTTAACCTTCCTCTCTTCCACAGATAATGAACACATCTACATGGAGCTGGATCAGAAGCTCTCTAAGTATTGTCCTAAAGAGTGGAAGAGGGAGGCCAGCAAGGTGAGGAAGCAGGAAGCAGGAAGCAGGACTCTGATCAAATATAAAATATGAAGGTTCCCACTGATCCTTCAAAAGTGTTTAAATAAATTGAGATCATCAAATCAATCTGTCATAAACCTTGAACATGCTTTTACAAAAGAAGTAAGGGTTTGTTGAATAATCTGTTCTTTGTGGTGGAAATGTAAATGCTCCTTTTAAGCATTATCTTTTTTGACCATACTATTTTTGTTAAAGAAGTAATTTAATATATAAAGCAACAAGTAAAACAGTTTCTAAATCACCTCTGTGCAGAGACAGTTTCCTAACTTCTGATATAAATGTTAAATGGGACCTACTGTATCATGCAAAATGCACTTTTTGATATCATTTATACATAAATATTTGCCGGGGAACTCATAGGTCCACTTTAAATTCTACCTGTTTGGAGAAATAAACAATAAATATTTAACTTGTTTGTTTTCCAGGGCATCGACCAGTTTGGGCCTCCGATGATAATCCACTTCAGAGCTCAGTATTACGTGGAGAATGGGAGACTGATCAGGTACAGACTCGCATCCTACTGACCACAGCTGGTAGTCAAGAGGACTTTTTGAAGACAAACTGAAGCTCTCATAGGCTGAAAATAAACCCCTTATCTTTGTCGGATTTAAAGTGTTTTCTCCCCTGTTTTCTGGCTTTCTCTGAATTTTGACTTTTTTCTCACACCTTTTTTTCTTTCTAAGAATTTTGACTTTTTCTCAGAAATTTCCCTTCAAGAATTGTCTTATTTTCTGAGAACTTTTACTTTTTTCTCAGAATTTGTATTTCTTTTTCTCAGAATGTTTTCTATTGAATTTTTACTCAGAATTTTGACTTTTTCTCAGAAATTTCTCTCCTAGAATTTTTACTTTTTTCTCAGAATTTTTACCTTTTTTCAGATTTTTTATTTCTTTCGCAGAAACAATTTTTTCTTTTGAATTTGTACTTCTTTCTCAGAATTTTTATTTCTTTTTCTCAGAACGTTTTCTTTTGAATTTTTACTCAGAATTTTTACTTTTTTCTTAGAATTTATATTTCTTTCGCAGAAACAATTATTTCTTTTGAATTTTTACTTTTTTCTCAGAATTGTTTTAATGTTCTCAGAATATTTTCTTTTTAATTTTTCCCAGAATTTGACTTTTTTCAGAATTTGACTTATTTTCAAAATGTAAAAAATAAGTATTTCTTCCGATTCGTTTTATTTTTTATGGAATTTAAACAATTTAGCTCAGGCTTAACTCCATAAATGGATTACTTGGATATTTCTTTCTCAGGTTCATCCTCTCAGAGCTTCCACTCCATCACCCTTCAGTTATTAACCTGTGATGCGTTCACTCCCCCCTCAGTGACCGTTCTGCCCGGTATTATTACTACTGGCACCTGAGGAAGCAGGTGCTGCAGTCGGAGTGTCTGCAGAGGGAGGAGGCGTACTTCCTGCTCGCTGCCTTCGCCCTGCAGGCCGACCTCGGGAACTTCAAAAGGAACAAACACTTCGGGAAGTACTTTGAACCGGAGGCCTACTTCCCCCCCTGGGTGAGTAAAACTGAGGAGGAACGTGTGTTTTTAATTTAACACAGAAGAAGAAGGGAGGATTTAAACACGCCTTTTCCTACATAACCACATCTGGATTTAATGCGCATCTGCGTTTGATTTCACCTGCAAAACTTCACATATTTTCTGTCTGGATTTGTATTTACTAAATGATTTACTTCCATCTCTGCTGTACATCCGGGTCTCTGCATGCCAGGCTGAGGTGTTCTTTTCTTTCACATTACAGCAACAATACTATCTTGCGGTTCCTGTGATTTTTAGTCTCTCAACGTCTAGGCTTGAGTCTTATTGAGCCTTACTTGAATTAACAGCCTCTGGTTGGAGATGACAAGTGTTGTTTGTTTTCCTGCGCGCTTCAGCTGGCCAGTGACGGCGTACCGCTCAAAGGAGTTTGACTAAAACACAGAGTTAGTTCCAGCTATCGCTCCAGCGCTGTAGACAATAAATCCTAATATTATAAACTTTTCTTTTGGGGGGGGGCTCAGGTCAGCGTTTTGGGGGCACTGGCCCTTGTTGGCCCCCACCTAGAACCACCCCTGTTCCCGAGATCATTAGTTAATTAACTTGAGAAAGTCTCGTCATCTCTAGAAGATTATCCAGCTGAAAAGTGCAAAACATTGGAAACATGGGAAACACACTACTCTATACGTCTGGTTCACCCTGTTGATGTGAGTGTGTGTTACTCTGCAGTGTTTGTCTCGTGAAACAGACTCAATGAGGTCTGAATCACCAGAAATAAAATGCTGCATCACTGAGAGCGTTCACAGCAGCTCCATTGATCACACTGACCAGAACTGGGCCGGTTATTTCTGTCCCTGAATGTGGCACACACACTGTTTATTATAGCGGCGTGCCCCTGAACACCACGCCCGTCTGATTGCTCTCCACTTCCTGTAATCAGCCTCGTTATCGGGACAGGAAATAGTTTTAGGATGAGCTACTCGGATTTAGCTTCTCATAAAGCTTTCTTACAAAATCTATAAAGACACGTGCATTACTCAGCGTGCATTTCCTCTACTACGTGCTTAGATTTGTACTTGGGGGAAAAGACAACGTTTAATATATCTGCAAAAGAACAAAACATTTATGAATTTTCTCCACTTTCTTTGGTACTGTAGTGCAGCTATCTTTTCATTTGTACTACCTGGTTCAAATGTTTGTCCGATACTTTGAAGTAAAACACGTTGAAGACGCTCCTGACTTTGCCTTAAATATTTTGTCTAATCTGATCTTTCCAAAGTGGTGAACCTTAAAAGCTTTTTTTTAATTGAATTTATTTAATGTAAGTGATGGCATGAAAGCACATCAAAGTGTTTATAAGACAAGTTATATTCACTCCATGAAATAACGTTAACACACAAAGGCAAAGCAAAGACAAGCAAACTGCTGAAAACAAATCTCGTTTATTTTGAAGCACATACAATCTGTCGGATTGGGCGAGATGTTTTTTTATTTCTCCCAAAGAAGACAATTCCTTTAATAGATTGTACCTAAAATAACATTTAACTTTATTTAAATGTGCTCGACACAACTTTCACCTTGTGTTTAGGGTTATCTTCCACTAGTAGCAACATACGTACAGAAAAATGATTTTAAAGGTCACCTATTCTGCAAAATCCACTTGTTCATGTCTCTTCTACATCAACATGTGTCCCCTCTTCTCCATGTCTCTTCTACATCAACATGTGTCCCCTCTTCTTCATGTCTCTTCTACATCAACATGTGTCCCCTCTTCTTCATGTCTCTTCTACATCAACATGTGTCCCCTCTTCTTCATGTCTCTTCTACATCAACATGTGTCCCCTCTTCTTCATGTCTCTTCTACATCAACATGTGTCCCCTCTTCTTCATGTCTCTTCTACATCAACATGTGTCCCCTCTTCTTCATGTCTCTTCTACATCAACATGTGTCCCCTCTTCGAAAGAGACTCTGAAAGTTTCA